TATTTTAACCTTACGTATTAGCGAAATCGGGTACTGGACTTGGACGTGGTGTGCTGGTTTGCGTGCCTCAGCGATTCATTGAGCTATGCTGGATAGTGCGTTTTGCACCTTCAGAGCCACTCATACCAGATAAGTCAGCGGTTAGAGGCGAGACCAACTCAGTCTTCTGACCCTCCAGTTTGAATTAAGATTGCTTTCTTGCACTATGGAACGGGCTCTCTGTAGCCCATTGTCAGAACTCCGCTGCCTTGCGGTCAGACTTTTGAACCAAAGGCTTTGATCGAGTACCCTAATTGTTCTCCTCTCTAGGCCTGGACACTCTGATAGTATCCTGCTCAAACAATACAGTGAATTTCTGTCTACTCAATTTCTTGATCCTCTGACCGTCGCAGATGATGATCAACTTCACCCAACCTGCTGCATCAACTAGGTTGGATAGAGGTTCTGTTACTGCTCAAAACATCCTGTCTTCTTATTTCACCTCACGCTTTTTCATCCTTATCGTCCCCTTCCAACGTTACTTTTATCGCGTTGTTTTCAACCCCCAGTCTTGCTTTAATATCGTTTGTCTTCTAGTTTCCGCTCACACGTAATCACAGGGCATCGGTCTGGTCCAGTCGACAAGACTAGGTTCAATCAAACGGACAGCGTCAGTTCATCCGTTTCTCTTTGCAGCCTCCGATCTTCGCTAAACCGACATGCCTCAACATGCACACTTTATTGCACATTGACCAACAGGCAGCACCTGCCGGGACAATAGAGACCCTATTGATTGATATCCACTGTTTATTGGAAACACGGCTTCAAGATTCGAGCTCTGTGCCCACCTTGCGATCCCCCACAAGTGACACTGACGGTACGTTCTCACTGCGTTTGTCTGGAAGTAACGCAGCTTCAGATACTGGTCAAGCCGGTGTGGACATGGATCTGAGTCCCCTAACTGGAGCTGCTTTGGTTTACTGCATCCCAATCAACTGCCGGATGTGTTGCGTCAGATTGGCTGGCTCGTTCCAGGCCTCAAAGCCCCGCGGGGACAAACGGTATCTGTTTGTCATCCCACAAATTTTAGTGTTGACTCAGTGAAAGATGAATTCTACGACTAACTGAACGAGCTCCTTGGTTACGGTAAAATTATGGATAATGTAGTGCTTGGTGGGGATCTGAACGCTCAGGCTGGTAAATTGTCCACTGATGAGCTACATTTGGGCAGTCAACACGGTATAAGGTCCAGTATTGATAACGGTGAGCGGTTGTTACACCTGTGTGAAGATGCTCGTCTATTTCTCGTGAGTAATAACGTCCGGCACATCGTGCGCCGGAGCGTGACATGGAGCCGACCAGCCATAGATGAAAATCAATCACATTGCAATCACTTGCCGCTGGAGAGGCTGCGTCCAAAACTGTAGCTCGGTTTGGAGCACGATCGTGGACTCTAACCATTCACACGTTTGTGCCGATCTTACAGTTCCCTTCGGTGGGCGCATGCGGCGACGCTGTGAGCGCGTAGATATTTGCAAGTTGGCGCAGCTAGATGTTCTGAATGCGTATCAAAGTACACTAGTATCTAAGCTGAGTAAGCGATCTCTGGGCGTAGTAAAGGGCCACTGGTCGCATATCCATCAGACATTATTAGCAACAGATGTGGCAAATCAAAAACTGCCAAGCTGGACATTGTGTCTTTATGCAGTCTCTGGAAATTCTGGATGCTCGCCGACACAGCTCAGCTGAGAGTGAACACAGCGAGATTTGCAAAGACCTCAGGGCGAAACTGCATGCTGGTCTGAAGAGAGACCGCGAGGTCTTGTGTTCTCATGGTGAATCGGAGATGAACATGGTAGCTGCCGTTGGTAACCATCGGAAGTTATTCCGTCTGAGACGCGAAACGATCAGCAGGAGACCTAGTGTTAACGAGATCATACGTGATAAGGGCGGACGGCTTATCCACGGTTTGTTAAAACTCTTGGCGCGCTGCGCCGAGCACTTTGAAAAGCAGCTTACTCATCCAGCATTACCAGCTTCTCCATCAGCTAGTGATCGTCCTCCATGGACCGCCCTCTTTAACCCGCTCTCACCCGCAGAGGTCGGACATTAGATCAGACTGTTGAAAGTGAACAAGGCCTCCGTATCAGAAAGATTTCCTAAAGCCATCCTCAAATTCGAGTGACCTGCTCTTGTGTATGGTATGCACAACTTGTGAAACTGTAGACATAGGAAACTCTCCCAACCGACTGGAGCCACTCCGTTATAGTCCCAATTTCCAAAGAGGACTCCTGTTCTAGATGCGGCAATCATAGAGGAATCAGTCTGGTCATATTTGTCTCTAAATTGCTTGCCTCTGTAGTACTCCAGAGACCGACTGACACCTGTGAAATCCAGGTTCGCGAGGAGTAAGCCGGATTTCGTCGAAATTGAGGCTATCTTGCTCACATCTTCACATTACCTCAGTTGCTGGAACACCACCATATTTATTGGCGACTCACCGTAGTCTTGTCCCCTGACCTCAAAGGTGCCTTCGATTCCGTGGATCGATGTGACATATTTGAATGCTCCGAAAAGGTGTGCCTGATAAATATGTAAATGCCATAAGAGCGGCGTACGCGCATAGTTCAGGGAGAGTGAGGGTTTACAGCAATTTTTCGACACCCTTCAATATTTCCAGCGGTGAAACAAGCTTTCCTTCTGTCGCCTTTCCTTTGTAACGTCGGCCTTGACGAGGCAATGGAAACAGCATTCATTGGGCACCATCTGGAAGGTATGGAGCTGCTCCCGGGTGATCGATTAACTGACTTGGCGTACACTGACGATATTGCCCTTAACTGTGACAGCTCGCAAACGTGCTAAGCAGCAGTAGACAAATTCGTATTGGCTACCAGTCGTTTCGGGTTATGCTTTGCACCGTCGAAATGCAAATGCCTCCAAGATTGGCAGAAACCTGCTCCTGAGATGACCCTTGGTGGTGATCAGGTAGAAGTCGTCGAGCGATTCAAGTGTCTAGGCAGCGGTATCAGCGCCAGTGGAATTGTAGATGAATCACGAACCGTATAGCAAAGGATCGAGGCGCCTTTGACAATATCCGCCACTTGTGAGGCAGGCGCGGCATCACTCTCATCCTGAAGGGCAAAGTTTACAATGCAGCCGTACCTTCAACCCTACCGTACGGCTGCGAAATCTACGCCATCAGGTTGACAGACATAAGTCACCTTCTATCGTCGCTACTTTTGCACATTGACTCATGTCTGGTGGGAGCAACGCCGAGCGATGAGCGTGCCCGACGTTGTATATCAGATGCAGGTAGAGCGAGTAAACCACTCAGCACTATTATTTCACGCACCGGGCTCCGATGGCTGGGCAACGTGTTGTGCATGCCAGCATAGGGACTACTGCGTCGTGGTTTTTTGCGCGACCGTGGTGTGGATGGAACAAGAGGAGGGGAAGTCAAGCGATGACTTGGTCAAAAGGAATGAAAGCCCTCACTTCCAACTTGGCATCGGTTGGTGTCTCCAGGCTGCTGGTCTGTGGACCGAAGGACGATGAACATGTCTTGTTGGATACAGTTGTTGACATGGCGAAAAGACGGATTCAGTGGCTTTGCGTTGTGAGTACAGTTGTTCTTTCCCACTCCGCTTACCTTCCCTCTCCAAGCACGATCGCGGTCTTGAAGCATAACATACTACTAAGCTGCATGTTATCTGTTGTCCTTTTTGTTCTATACTGTTTAGTAGCACACTTTTGCAAATATCTTTTTTATATTGCAGCACAATAGTGAAAGTCTGTTTCTTACCTTCAGCTAATGAGTAATTATGATGTGTAATGATAACAATACATTCGGTACTTTAATTGTATGATGCGTTTCACTGGCCTAGGTCGCCGGCTTCCTCCAGAGAGACTTGTTGCTCTCGGGTCACTGGCTAGACCTAGCCTCAGCGTTCAAAGTTGTGTTGCGTCACGCTAATTCCCGTTCCCCTCGATTTACTAAGGTTGTCTCAATAAGCCAGATAAATCCAACTCTGTGCGCTCAAAAACAGTTATTTATTAGCTTAAGGCTGCCATTGGAGGTAGGGGTGCACTTGCGTCACTCACTGCACCCCAAGCATGTCTATTTGCACCCAACGTTAGCCATATCTCTGCATGTCAGTTATGGTTACGGGTACTGAGGAGACACAACGAACTGCATGCATCTGCCAGCTTTTGTCTTCTTTCCCCACTTTTTAAGTTGCACTTATGTACCAAGATCATGGTTGAAGCACTTTAATTCCTGCGCTTGGTCTTAGCTGCGAAGAAAGAAGGCAACAGCAGTGCGCTGTGCCGACGCTTCGCCAACCACATGACCACCATCATCAGTCGCCCGCAGGCTGCGGATGCTGCGAGGTCGTCCGCACCTAGAAAGATTCGAGCCGGGGACGTCCCCGGATTACAAGGCAGACGCCTTATCCTCTTGATCACCGGCCAAAAACTGGGCTGCACTTATTGTCCGCACTCCTAATCGCTTTGCGCACACATTTATACATCTTCCTTCACGGTAATTGCAACTTGTCTTCGAGTCTATAGATGCTAAGTTCTGCTATCCATTTAACAAGTGGTCAGGTATATGGCAGTTTGTTTTCTGTTATTGAAACATCAAGGAGTTTATCCCACCGATCATCCATGTTACTTGGCTGCGATTCGGACTTATCCTAAAAGATACGGTACTTTATCGCTGTTACACGCCCATTTTGCAGCCCATCTTTTTACTTTTGTCTTGAACGCGCTTCGTTTTGCACCCAGATTTGCATCTTTGGCTGTTGTACTTTTGTCCGGCTGCTGGCGTCCTCTGCTGCTCAAGGATTGCCTTACTTCTGGTCCTTGCAGGTACTTTAGTGTACGAATCTTGATACCGTCTAATCTCTACTGCTTGCTCTCCAGCTTTTATTGCTTCGAACAAAATAGCTAGATGGTCGACTCTATTCAGTCTAACTCCTATATCCGTCACTACCATTCGTTCATTTTCTTTTGGGTTTCAGTCGGCGTACTTTCCTACGGACTCGTCATCCCGTCGATTTGCAAGCCCACAGGTAAAAGAAGGTCGGAGTGCTGTTTGTTGAAACTGTACTTTACAGTTTGGGCCGCTGTGTGTTTTGATGTTTATTTCATTACTTTAAACATATTTCTTGTTTCTCTCATGCATCTCTTCTCGCCTTATGTCGTTCTCAATGGCCGTCAGCGATACTTTATCACATCTGCTATGATATTTACCATCTTTTTCAATTGCTTTTACGGCCATGCATTTTATACTGTGATGCCCGCATGAGCTTAGTGTACGCCCGTATTGTATCATGGCGTCCACGTGAAACAGTTCACCATTGGACACAACAGCAATCACTGGACTCGGCGCACCTCCTTTCCATGGTGCTGTAGTTGCTACAACAGCCACTGTCGTGAATTGACAAGTCTCTGACTGAGATTGACCGCTCTAGACTAGCTCTCTGTGTGCAGGGTCAAGCAATCCGTTCCTCTTTTAAACTATCCTTCAGTCCAGGCACTGGTACTTGTTAGCCGAACGCATGCTAGCCGAACCGGTCCTCACTTTCATTCGCCCAAACGCTCTCCTTGTGCTATTCATCTATGTCGATAGGACCACTGTGTTTTGCCACTGTGGACGAAATCCACCATGCTCATTTACAACGTGGAGCACTGATGCTTCGCTGCCACACAACCGCGAATTAGCCGAGGCAATCCTACAGATGAAAACTGCGTATTAGTCCTACTTCTCGTTGAATGTTCCTGCAACTTGTTTAACCGTTCGTCGGCAACAAGAGTACAATTCGTTTTTTGTGGGCACGCTCGTTGCTCTCCACAGGGGACAGTTGCTTCTCAATTAACTACAGTGGACAACCTGAAAGCCATCGAGTTCTTCAGCACGAGGAGTCGAAGTCCCGCTGCGGTACAGAACAATCCTTGTTATACTTCCTTGAACAAGTACATGTTTTATCACCCACTAACACCAGAGATGTTTTATATTCAAGCATACAATTGTACCACGTGCACTAACTTCAGCAACCACACGCCCTCCACTACCGATACGACTGTCAAAGTTGGTGCATCGATCATTCACCACCTGTTCATCGTCATCAATAATTTTTAGCTACCGTGTGGAGATACCCGCACTATGTAAGGAGGGTGGTGACGTCCTCTGCAAAGCACTGACCTCCCTGTTCGAACATGTCCGGAAGGCAGACGCCATCCCAGCTAACTGGAGCGAATCCTAGTGGCGATCTACAACAGGGGCAGCCGCACGGACTGCGCTAACCACAGCCTAACGCCGGTGGGGACAAAGGTACTCGCATCAATTCTCCTTCGTCGTCTCACTCCGGAGCGAAATCCCGGATTAGGGAAGAGCAAGCAGGCTTCCGACCAGGACAGGCTGTACAAACCAGATATTTACACTGCGGCAGGTGCCAGAGCAGCGCCACACGTACCGCAAGCCGACAATAGCTGTGTTCCTCGACTTCAAGAGTGCGTTATACGCAGTCGATCGATACATTCTGTTTGAACTACGTTGCAGTATGGTGTTCCCATGAAATGTGTGAACGCATTACGTGCCTTGAACTCGAACACCACAGGTCGCGTCAGGGTCTACGGTAAGCTGTCAAGTATCCGCCAAGAAGTGACCTTCTTCAGAGGTGCTCAATTTCCCCATTTTTTGTTCAACCGTCGCGGACTTCATTACGGCGTATTCCATTGCAGAGCCTCACGATGCACACCTTGAGGTGCTGCGTGATGAAATGTAAGTTGCTCTTGAGTATGCAGATGGTATCGTCCTACTTTTAAACAATGTGTTGGCACAAACAACCCTGAATAATCTTTCTAGAGGGTTCCCCTTATTTGGCATGCGCTTCGCACCTTTAAAGTGTAAAGAGCTGTTGCAAGACAACCAGCCACTTAACGACCCCTTGACTCTTGTTAGCGAGGAATTCGAGGTGGTTAATCTTTTCATCTACCTTGAAGTCTGCATCGCCAGCGCTGGGCACACAGAAACTGAAGTCAGTTCGCCCTTTGCAAAAGCTTTAACTGTCTTGTTGAATCTGCGACATCTGTGGGGTCAGAAGGGGGTTTCTCTCGGTCTAGAGGGCCGTGTATATAAGGTCACAGTGAGGGCCGTTCTACTGTATAGGAGTGAGACTTAGCCTCTTCGGTAAGAGAATCTGAGGCGCCTTCAAGCCTTTAATTATCGTTGTCTGCGAAGCATTGCTGGTGTCAGATGGCACCAACGTTTCTGCAACGATGATGGGCGTAAGTGGGGACTAGGCAGTGTTACTCATGCTAGTTTCTTAGAACAACAGGTAGCACTGAATAAGCCGCGTTAGCATACTCATGTACTACCTATGCGTGGTCACTGCTTACCGGGTAGGACCATATTTTGTTTGTTAGGTGTAGGGTGACGCAATGCACGAGATGGGCAAAAAATAACTTGGCATTGAGAAATGGAGTCACTGCTGACCAAACTGGGTGCCGTCCGTCTGTCTCGCCTTCCAGGCTGGAGTCCACTTGACCCGTCTTGTGCTTGGCTGGAGATGTTACAGGACATAGCTCACAGTCAGCACCAGTAGTGTGTCTACTGTCGTTTCCTAGTTAACTGCCTGTTTAAAGTGTGTTTGGTGCTGAGTTATCTGCGTGCAAATGTTGATTATGACGCAGAGCAGTGAAACCGCTTGGAAGCTGTTCCGGCGATGCCACCTTCTATTTGCGTGGTAGCCAGCTGTTTGGACTGTATGTTGTTGACATAAGGTGTAGGCAGCTTGACCCTCTTTGTTTGTTTAGGGCATTAAGGTTTTACGCCATGTCCTCCTCTCCCTCCTATTGTTCTTCGTTCTGTAGGCCACCGCGGTTGTACGGCAGCGAAGCATCACTTCAAATGACGGATGATGATGATGATGACGGTGATGACCGTGTGCTTTGGTGACAACATCCAAGCAACCTTATTGCAGCGTCCGCCATCACGCGTCAGAACCACCAGCCTCGTCTCACCGACAGCTGAGCACTTGCAAGCGTTTCGGATAAGAACTGATAACTGGCACACCACTGGTGCGGTTGCAGTGGCGTCTGAAGCCGTACACGGATTGGGTTGCATGGAAAGGTGAAACGTACTACCAGCCATTTGTCTAGTTTTCGTTAACTTTATGTCTTAATTCCGGTCACTATTTGTCCCTTTGGATGCCGTGCTATCCAAAAGTGGGCAAACAAAACATAGCCCATCTCAGTAAGTGATAACCCGTGTTTGGCGCACCTGCTAAAACAACTTTTTTGACTGCACCTGTTGGTCTGTAGTCTTGTTCGATTCCTGCATCTCACCGTTACCATTACATTAGTACCCGTCGACTCATGCGCTGCTCTGTATGCAACGGGAGGGAAAGCTTTGGGTCTCCTTAAGTCAGTCAGTTTCAGTCCAGCGTAGAACGGCTTTCATTGTAGTCCTGTATATACGACCCTCAGCTGCATTGGACCTCCTCCCCGTGCCAAATGCACCGCAACTTTACAAACGCACTCCTAGTCTTACTTATTCGCGATCTAATTTCAGCAACCACTCCTCCACTATTACTGGTCACACTACTGTTAGTTCAGCGATCACTCTAGGAAACGTAAAATCTTCGTCCGTCACTTATGAGGTATGACACCGTCATTAAAGTTCCACCCTGAAGCATCATTCCGTAGGTATACCTAACCAACCGATGGCACCACCGCAGCCACCGCACACCGTTCACGAGATGGTACAACAAGTCAATCGCGGTATTTCGTAATCTAAGCTTGCAAGCGATGTGTGCGTACGTAGCTTTGCTCAAAATCTATTTGGCACAAAAATGACGCGTTTTTCTACTGCAAAGTCATCGCGTCTCTTTAGCTGGTCGTTGGTTCTTCATGATATGGCTCAGAATGGCAACACCGTTTTCTCACGCCGATGTAGCTCGAATAGCAGGTCTGCCTGATTGTCAACTGTTGCTCTCCGAGTTGGTCATTCAGACTTGAAATGTAGCCCGAGTGGCTGCTTTAGTTTCTAACCTCTTACCACACTCTTCCTTTTTTATTTCTAGACATTGGTTGGTGGTGTAAATCCGTACATTCTAACGTTATGTATCTTCCTTTTGTCTTCTCCGTTTCCTCTACTATGCTACCGGTCTTGTGACCCGCAAGGCGTCATATTACTTGACGGGTGTCGTATCACATGAATCCACTTTCATCGGTACAAGCCGTTTCGGGCTGTTCATTCACGACTCCTTTTTCCCATCCTAATTTCTACAATTCCTCTTCTCCATTGTTTATTGATTCCAGGCACCACTAGTTCCCCTACATTCTCTACATTTCAGAGTTGATTACTCTTTCGATCATCGATCACAACGCCGCTTGGGAATAAGCATCTGATGACCATGTAGCATACCCTGGGCTTGCGCTTTTGGATTGAGCAGGATTTTGGTAGTGGGTGACAAGGTTCTTGTTCTGCCGCTTAATGGACATTGGACGGAGCTCACCCATAACCCGTAGACGACGTGTATCTAAGTTCCAGAAGCATAGTGTTTGGCTTTCATTAATGTTATCTTCGCATCTTTCACTGCTGTCTCCAGTTTTCCATTCGTTTGGCTATGGTAAGGACTATTAGGACACTAGTCAAACTCCCTTATCTTGCTGTAGTCTCGGAATTACTCTGCGATAAACCGTGGATCATTGTCCGAAACTACTTCCTCAGCACATCCATATTGAGCAAAATGACTGCACGCGTACTGGTCGTAGGCGGGGGTACCGATCTCAAAATAACCACTAGAGTGATCAACCGTGGTCAAGTACTCTTTTTCCTTATCCCTTCACACACACGCAAGAACTTTGGTCCCGAAAATTATTGTTTGTCTTGATGGTGATGTACTAGATTTCTTAACATATTATAATGTTGATCGTTGCCTGCTTATTACGCAACTGAGAGTATGTTTACATGTGTATGCAAAATTTTAAGGTAAACTTTTATGCTTCTGTACATATGTACGCATTGTCTATGAAAGCGTTACGCGGGAAAAGATCAACCACCAGTTGTTGCAATGGCCATTGGCTCCGTTTGACTAACGTCATATGCACCACAAACCGGCAGTTCGATGCATAGTGCCCGATGTGACTGGCCAACCCAAACCAAAATACCAACTCTCTAAAGCGCGCGAACCCATTTTTCATCCCAACTTACCAATCATGGATCATTCCGACATGTTGCGCTGCATTGTCTTTGGGATTAGCACCAAATTTCCTACGAATATAAAGCCGCTTCACCAATAAAATGTGGCAACAGTGCCAGTTCTGCCGGCAATCTCCTCTCATCCTATAGCCACTCCTCTGCGATTGTTCGTTTCAGTCATTTTCAGACTGACTCCTTTTGCATCAGGAGGAAGTGGCATTCCATTTTCGCTCTTACTTTTTCCGTATCTGATGTTAATCCACCTGCGTTAAGCACATCCCCGTAAAGCACAACCTACCGTTTGAACAGTTCGAACTTGTCGGGTTTCAGTTTGCTTTTCTTCACGGTTCATCGTTGGAGAAACCGGTGGAGATTACTATAGTGCTCTTCTGCATTGACACCGAATAGTATCGCGTCGTTTACCACGAAAATGGTTCTTAGCAAATCTAAAGCTTGCACTAGACATTTATGAAATACCTCACTAGAGGCTTTCAAACCTCATTGGTTAACGTAATCACCTGAATCATCCGAAAGATGTGCCTAACTTCGTCACGCAGTTCGATACATCTTCTAGCGTAACATTGCGATAGCGCACAAGACAGACTTTCATGCAAAACCTTACCGTTGATAATACCGATAAAATATCCTCTAGCGTTGATAGGGTGTCGTATTTTCTCCTAAAGGCGGCGTTAAACGTCCTTGGATCATTCCACATTCGTGCATCATCGGACCCCTTATTGACAATTTCCGCTAAGCTAACCCAGTTTGTTAGTTCAGCAACTTTTGTTATTACGCCGAGCTCAACTGGACACTCTCATTCTTGAAGTAATCTTACTCCTTCAGGGATAAATGTGCACATTCGTCAAACTTGCCTACAGCTTAGTCAAATACATTAGGGTAATGATCGACGGTATCAAGCTAACACACGAAATCCTTAAGTGACCACGAGTAAAAGAAACGAAGCTAAGCTACTGATTGGAGTCATCGCCCAGAAAGGACACAAAATCGCAACGTACAACGACGAATTTTATTTGGCGGCTCTTTCCACTCTTCGGATCGATAACCTTCAGCACGGCAGCGCCCTTCGGCTGGAGTTTAAAGCCGTTTCACATCTTCAGACAGTGCTGTGCCTTATAGCACCACACTCCCAACTGTGCTTCGTCTTGACAATATTGACTGGGGCTCCTGTGTCCAACTAGAGACGTACATATTGCTTTTGAACATGTAGCGTCGCATAGACGCTCTTTTTATCTTTTTGGTGCTGTATGTTATCGATGGTGAGTTCTTGAACTGCTGATGAACCAATGCAATAAACTGAATTTACCTACTTTGATCGGCAGCATTACACAAAGTGCTTCTTAGAGCACTTGTTGCAGATCTCTCCCCACGCTGGGATAGTGTCTGAGACCACCTTGCTGGCAGAGTAGTTCGCGTGCAGTAGTTTGAGACATGGCATATTTGGGATGAGCAACTGCACATATTTCAGCCGTTGCGCCATCTCCATCTTACGAAACTGAGATATCGTTGACGTTTAACCGTCACAAATATTTGATCCAACGTTCTAGCGGTAGATCTCTATGTTGAGTTAGCCTCCGGGTTATATTTTCATCCTGGATACCCAGTACAATTTAATCCCTTATCAGCGAATCACGCATGCTTCAGAAGAGTTACCTGTTCTTGCCTGAAGTTCAAGTTCGCTCACGTAACTATTAACTGGCTAATTCGGGATGCGATTTCGGTTAAAAAAATAGGTAGCGCTGCTAGGTTTCATTTGTCTTGTCTTCACAAACTTATCGAACCTTTGGATCATGGCAACCAAATCAAGCCCTTCATTTCGTTGTCACATTTTATTGTCTCTAACACACGTGTTGCTTCGTCGCTAATAGCATGTCGGAACGTCGCCATCTGGTAATCTGCAGGGGTTTGTCCAATCGTCTCAGGATGGCAAAATACGCTCACTTCGCTTTCCATTATCGCGAATTTTCGTGCAGCAAATCCTCCGTCACCTATATTGGGATCGGCATCGCGACCGAAGGCTGCCATTCAAACCACATCTGCTGCTTCTTCATCAATTTCTTCCTTTCCTCTGTTACCATGTGGCGTAACCCTCTGAGAGCGAAAAAACAAGCTTAGCTTCGATTAAAATCTATTTGCCATGAGAATGTCCCGCGTTTTTATTTGGCCAAGTCATCGCAAGTCTCTTCAGTTGGTTTGATTCTCATGATTGTTGTTACTTCATGTGATGGTTCAGTTTGACAATGCAGTGTTCCCACGTCTCTGTAGTTCGAACCGCGATCCTCAGCGATTCTCACCTGTGAATACGAACGTTTGTTCTTCGAGTTGATCATTCGGCTAGTTGTTTTAACTTCTAAACTTCCCAACAACTTGGAAAAGCATACCCTGTTTCAATCCCGCCGATGAGTTGGCCGAAGCACTTGCTCTCTTTACATTGTTTTTTTCCCATGACCTTTTCTGAACGTTTTCACACCAGTCACACAAGAGATACCAAGATTCTTGCTACCTGGCTCATTTCTCCGCTTTCTTATCGTTTTATAATGAGCTAACTTCCACTCCTACAAATCGTTATGCGTGCCCACAGCCGTTCTTCCAACCGCGTCCCGATGCTCTGGGTTACGGCTATTACAGGAGTGATGCGTACGCCTATCCTCCTCCTGAATACTACGGCATGCCACATCTTAGAGCGGGACCTCGAGGATTTCACTATATGGCCAGACCGCGAATGCCACACTATCCCCCATCGTATCGACCTAATCAAAATCCGGTGGTAAGTTTTCTCATGACATTCACCGTCGTTGTTTTGACGTATCCAACTTTCTCAGGCTGTTTATCAGTTTTATGCCAAGTAGCTTTAGGAGATCTTGGTTGCCCGCTTTTATGCAAATGCCAAAGTCCCCCGTGGAGGTCAAGCCCAACATATATCGCGGTGTCTTCTAGCATAGATGTTGATTGCCCATCAAATTACTTTAATAATGACATGTCTGCACTTGCTTTTGCTGTACTCTTGGAACATGCTTGTGTTTTCCTCTCCACTAGCTTGGTCTTTTTATGTATGTTTCTATCTCTGACATCCAGATTCCTATCTTCTGTCGTCTCTTCCTCAATCTGTTTGAACCGATTGTTCGTTTACCGGCAATACATCCCGAACGAACTTGGCCAACTGTTTGTTTCACAATTACCCATTTTCTGAGCGACCTTGTGTTTGTTCCGCCTCTGTCCGTTAATTATTACTGCACAGCCTTATAAACAAATTTTCTTCGGTTGCGCATGCACCTGTCTTAACGAGTGCTGCTGTGTGCATGGTGCCCTAACGTGATGTGAATCAGAAGCACCTGTCAGTGCTTCTCAATTTTCTTTTGGCTGTTACCCACAAAGCGGGTTCAATATAAACAATTATCCCTGAACAACTTTTAGTTTAACAGATTAATTACCTGTTACCTATTGCATCTTTTGCTTTGAATTACGAAAAGAATACTATTTGTAATTAGTTTCTATCATTCAATTAAAAAATAGTTATTTTTGGACAATCTTAAACAATCAAACTCTGATGTGCCTTAATAAGACGGCTGGTACTATCTAATTCTAACAACCTCAAGCTAATTTGGTGCGATTTCGACTAACGCACATGGTAACTCGTGCCCCAGGTTCATTCGGTTCCTTGCTTTGGTGTATGCTCTCCGATCAAACATGAATAGATGTCAGTGGATTCTCAGGTGTTTCAACCATCCCTTCCAAGTCCTTCCTGGATGACAGCTTCAGACCACCACTGTATCGACACGTCCTGAACACTAATTGCCTGTTTTGTCTCTTCTAGCTTGTAAACATTCGCTCGCTCCTTTCCCTCGTCGGTGGACCTACCTCAGTGTTCATACAACTACGTAATTCGATCCGGCGAACGACTATCTGACTTAAAAAAAACAACGATTGACGAGCAAGCTGATCGAGATGGTATCTACAGATGCGCTGCTTTGCACGCTTGTTTTTGTAGTTCAGGTAACAATATTTACTACCGAAAATTGTCGACTTCACTGACCGCTCGCTAATGATTGATCGCTGACAGCTAATCAATGGTGATTAAATCGTTCGCTACATGTTTTGATAGAGATGATTTTGTTAATAAGTTTGTTTGGCGACAGGTTGGTGACTCAATGCTTGTACTTATATTTACACCCGTAAGGATAATTCCCCCCAGATTGAGAACCACTGACCAATGTGCACTGGGGAAGAAGAGCCGTTCGGAAGGAGACCATTACTAAATCTTTAGATGGTGGATATCCCAACGAGTTAATTAAGCACCAGCTACAGAGTGGGTTAATCGCGCACCCATGACGTACCAGAGAGTGGATTGGGACAGTGGAAACTCTTTGTAAAGAAAGAACTTTGGAAGCCATCCGGCGGATGTTAAATAAGGTGAAAATATGGGTACTCTTCCAATAGAATCAAACCCTCCGTTCGACACCGGTGCATTTAAAGAACTCACTTCACGTAAATTAAATGGCCAATTGTGTCTATTGGTTGCCAAACCGCGAAAGAGTTGCGTACTAGGGACGTGGAACACGAGAGCCGCATGTCAAGACCACCGAGAAGCAGGCCTCTGCTACGAGATTCGGTGGGAATATTGCACACACTCTAGCATGTTAATTGCCGCAACGGTGAACATCACCAGCTCCAACAAATGCGTGAACAGATTGGATGGTATAGCTTTAAAATACGTGGTAGCCTGTCTTAACCCGCCGGTCAGTCCGTTGAGCTTCGGTGCACAGATTCAGCTTGGAGAGCGAACTTTAAGCCACTGCCACGCAGGCTTCTGACAACAAGTGTTCACGTGTGGGGTGACCTAGTGACATGGAGCACTTGGCACACTTCCACCCTTCATGTCACATGATGACACGTCGATCTGTAACAGTGATTACTCGTTTGTCGTGACTATCCTCCCAGTTTACTATAATTACTATGGCAATAAAAAGGAGAATGATTGGAGGGGTCATTTTGAAGACTCACTTAATTCAAGAAAGAACTTTGTGCACCCCCGAAAGGGGACCATCCAGCTGTTACATATACGCTTTCAGCACTGTAAAAATAAATAAACTTAAAACATTGAATACACAAGTAGGTTACTAAGTGGCATAGACCGCATTAGAGTTGCGACGCTAACTTGCTTGTAAACTCCAGAACAACTCTGGTCTGATCGCACAAAAATCGTGCCAAATACCGAATTACCGGCGAATGGTAAGCACTTGTACAAGCATTAATGGATCTATACTTTTGGCTGCTTGAACAGGTTGCTACACATTCAGACAGTACACCATGAACAGGGTGACTTGCATCGGTTAGCATTTTTGAAGTAATCTTTCTGCTTGAACTGGTATGAGCAAACACAAGAATGTCAACAATGGTCGGCTTTGGAATGACACTACATCGAGACAGCTACGTCAATTATCTACGTGAATTTTGAAATACTTTCTTAAGAAACCAGAAAATGTCACAAGGAAGCAATAAGTCCAGTGGAGTGTGACACAAACGGTGATAAATCGAGGTATAAAGTAGGGGGGCAGAGGAGGGTCGCGAACGAACGGTGTAGAAACAAAGTCTCCTCACTTTCGTGGAATCTTCATTCACATGAAGTGGGTAAGAAAGCTTACTGCTGAGTGTGACACCTAGATACTTCAATAACAGTGAATGCAACCTCTCGCCATCTATGTGAAATTCAAGGCAATCCATGGAAATTTGCTTATAGCGACGGTCTTTTGTGGAGAAAATAGAACGTTATTGCTTTTTAATGCATTCAACGATAAAAGGTGAGCTCTGGACCACAATGCGAAGTTGTCCAAATAGGCTTGTAATATGATTGATGAGGCTGCGGTCGGATGTTGGGTACTAAAGATCACGCCGTCTACATATTTCAGCAATATCGCTTCATCAGGCGCAAGCAATGGAGCGACATAAGTGGAGAAAGTATGGGGACAGTGTGGCTCCTTGGAAGATTCCGGCGGCTGTGGGCAGCAACGAGAAACTTTTATCGCCTTGTCGAGTAAATTCGGCACGTCCAGCGAATGGTAGCTGATTGAATTCCGACATCATGTGGGTCTCTCTTGTTGTCTAGTGACGCCAGTACTGAATGTACACAATGGGCTAATGCGTCTTGAGTAGACTTCGAAGTACAATAAGCAAACGGAACTGGATCGATAGCATGTGTTTGAGCCAGCCTATTTTCAAGAGCAATCTTCTCGAAGACCTTCAAGTTAACCGAGGTGCAAGCAGTTGACCGGTATTTATTTGTGTGCTTGCATTGCGGTGCGCAATCTCATTGTGAACTGCGATTCATATTGTCTTGAACCTCGGTCTGTTCAATCACTCGGGTCATAACTGAAACACATGTATAGATTGGTTGTTGCTCACCGGAAAACACTACACTCCACAACCGGTTTCGAACTGGTCTGATCTCATCAAGTAGAGATAGCAATCAACGAATCGGGGAGCTGTGATGGAGATGAATAGTGTGTGTTGCTCGTCCGCAAAACACTGCATTCCGCTACCGATTTCGAAATTATTTGATTTCTTCAGGCAGAATTAGTGTTTATTCTCGGTTTCACGAGACATGCAATTTCCAGCATGATCAATATTTTCAGTTAAATTTCTTCAATATATCTGCGGGTCATTCTTAGGGTTAGATAGAAATGGCCATCATATTACCAGGGATGGTTCTTCAGCGCAATAAATACAGAATACTTCGTGGCTTCTTGACAGAGAACTCTGCTTACTTGTTCACTCGACTTAATAAAATTTATCTCGAAAACGAATCTTGTCAACCGAAAATACAAATCGACTGTTTTCGTAACCTTCTGTACATTCGGTAGCATGTATATCGGCCGGACTTAGAGAAGGCTGTCAACTCGGATTTCGGAGCACATTCTGCGCAATCTAACCTTGACTGGTGGGAAACTACCTGCTGGCTCAATTGCCAGCCACCTGTTCGACTGTACAATGTGCCAAAACCCTAGAGAGGCATTCAAAGTTCTTAGCAGGCAAACTAATCCTAATCTGCTAAGATTCGCCGAGGATGCCGCCATCCGGCATCCAAAGTAAGCAACTGAAACTTGTGACCAGTCTTGCTCTGCTGTGATGATGTGCTTGTTCCTGTCACTGTCACAGCCGGTTATCGATTCTTGGTATTGATTCCCTTTCACTTCCGCTCATTTAAAGTTTTCAATATTAGTATATGGTCGGCTGCATGAGAATACGCGAAATATACTGAATTCAGAATGTCCCGCCAGCTGAAATGTTTTCCCTTCTGAAACGTCTACAACTTTTCCGCACTTTTGTCGGCCACCCATGCACCTTGACCTACCTAAACGTAGACAAAATCAATTAACTGCATATCTGTCTACCACTCTGGAGGCGGAGTGTCCTGTACGATCCGACATGATTTGTGCACCCCTAGACCGTAAAACCACACGGATGCTACGGCTCCGATCACATTTGAGAAACGGGGTGTAGGTATGGATTAAAACTCGTGCTTCGCGCATGCACTTTAATACTTCGTGATATTCGTCTTCCTACCATCTCCTCGAGTAATGGCCACCTTCCCTTACGACTGATTGCCATTGTATGGCACTTTTTCATCTAGCCGTTGCTGCTTTGCCATACCTGGTGTCGACGATAAATTCTCCGCTCTGGCTCCACAGCTCTTACTTACATCGTCACACATACCCTTTGCCAAGCTCTATCTCACGATATATTGACTGAGCGATGATTATCTCCTTGATCCAGTGACCAACGTGACACCGATAATCTACCGGCCAGTGACACTTGCATACGCTTGCGCAACCTTCCTGTAGTTCAAACTTATAAGCAGCATAACGCGGTGCTGTAAATGGCCGCCTTCCTCATTCAGGGGGAAATCGTTACAATTCGCTTGTCATCGTGCTGCTGAGATTCCGAACACCCAGCATACTGCAATCGTCATTCGAGCGTTACAGGCTGACTGTCTATCATCGACTTGTAGCAAGACTTTGGTGAGTATCGCCGTCGATTCTCGTGCCCCTTGATGTACACACGGCGCGTTGTCAATAGCTCTCATCTGTGGTTTTATTGAGTTCCTCTAATGACTCCCTCTTGGTTGTTAAATATGCCAGTCAAGGTAGGTAAATCATTCATATTGTCATCCTGCCCTCAGCCCCATCAGATCTGTCTTTATGCCACTGACTGTTATCCCGTTTCTTACGAATCTCGCATTTGAGTGTTGTCAAAGCATAGGTATGTCTCGTGTTTCGGGGAGTCCCTGCTTGACAGTAGTATCCTGATGGCGATACGTCACGCAAGAGGATAGATTTCTGATCCTCTGGATGTGTGTACGTGGGTAACGGTGGTCGCTGCAAAAATAAACCCTGGGACTCAATTTGTTCCTCATTAACCCACCCTTCCAACTTCGAAGCTACTGTCAATTTCCTAAGGTATGTGCTGTTTGCCGTCGCAAAGATCCTCACTACCGGATTGTGGCTCGTTCTTTCGCTGCCATCCTAATATTTTTTTGTTGCGCAAAGAAGACGGTTGCCGGGCATAAGTTACTGAATCTCTGACAACGATGCTCTTAACGGCTGATATTCTGGCCTGAAGTGGGTCTACTACTTATTTATTTTTTCGGCTCCGTATATCATCTGCTTTTAAAAACCGATGCTTTGGTTTATCATCTCACCACATTGTTCAGAAGTTTTTATTCGATACTGCTTCTAGTGCTCTCTCGCTTTGCTAGCTCTACTGATGGTGTTGGCTCGCTCGTTCTACTCTTTTTTATCACAAGCCTTTGTATTTTCTGCTGTGACGAATGACTGTGGATCAGGACCTAGCATCTAACTGGCACTTGATTTTCACTTGTCATTTCCACATTTGCCGTCCATTTGGTTTCCTGTTTTACGGCCTAATGAGATATCACCATTTCTGTCTGGTTCCCTTACAGCGGGCGCCTACAAACTTCGTCCCTCCTTACCAGCAGTCTCAAAAAAAGAGTCCTCGTAATCCAGCGTGGATTCCGGACTTCCTTCCCGAGCTAAAGTATGTTTAGTCACCGTGCTTTTGGTACTTCTAGTTCGTCTCCTCGAACGTCGTTCTCCCGAGTTAACAAGCCACAACGTGTACGTGCCATCTCACTCTCATTCTAAGATGAGCAAGATGGCATTTCTCGAGTATACCCCTCTGTATTCAAGTCTGAATTTTATTCCGTTAATTGTTTCTTTGATGTCTTTCGGTTCGATGAATTCGGCTCCCAGCGCCTGCACGCATGTGCTACATTTGATCACATGGTACTCGCGGATTGGATCGTTACAATTGATTTGTTCACAAAACTGCGCAATCTTTTCTCTGGTAACCTTAGAAAAAGCAGCACCGACTTGGTAGAGTAAACAACACCGCACAATCAGCAGTGCACACCAGGGTGGACGTTGTAACATTCGGTTATGTGCATAGGCTTCCTAAGTCAACCTTGATGGTCAGTGGCGTAAATGGCTTTCAGCCCGCGCTTCGCAAAGCGATTCCGTCCCAGAGTGAATGTAATTCAACAAGCCTAGCTTTAGGCTGTCACTCGTCACTACTCAGTGGTCGATGATCGTTGCTCGGTTCAGCCACGGAATCGTTCATCTGTCTACCAGATCACTCAGGAGTGCCTGTCATTATTCTGATGCCTATATTCAACAAGTCTGCTTCATGATTGTCTGCGTACTTGTAACAATCCTGGGATGTAAATCGGTTTACTGTCTTTCTTCGCGAACCCGTCACTGTTGACCCGTCCTTCGTGAACCCGTCACTGTTCACCGGTAGACTGGCCGCCATTTTACTCGATCGCAGTCTAAAATGCCCATCCATTGCGAAATGGATAAGCATCTCATCAAAAAGGGCACACAATGCAACGGAGTCTTGGTTGATTGTGTTCCGTCGCGATGTAACTGGGCCTTATTGTAGTGTTATGGTCTGCTTACTCCCATGACCCACCGAGATAACGAGTTTATCGCGCTTCTCTGTTGTCTCATACAGAAATCCCGGATTTCTGTCCATTTATTAATTTATATTCATCACTCTGCACATAGTCACGGGACTATCGAAAACAGAGGAAATCAAAGGTAGGTGGAGTTACCGTTAAAGGAGAAGCATGCACAACACAGAATAATCCATGGTTTCTTCGGAGGGTGTGGCACTACCCAAGCCGAAGTCGGGATTTGACTTAGGGGACACCAAACCGAGCGTTTGGTCAACTTGCTTACTTACAACGCAGCAGAGTGGATTCAGTGAATCGCGCCCACTGGTGACCGATTTTTCAGTCCATATGCCCTTCGTTTAGCCATATGCCAAACCGTCCTCTTCTGCTAAGAAGAAACAAAGTTTCGTGACTTTGGCTAGTGCCGGGTCACATCCGCCACCTCGCAATAGTCTTAAACGTACATGGGGAGAACGCTTGGCAGGTGAAAACCCATCACGTCCTGGAACACTGCCACTGAATCCTCCCACTAGAACGCGGTAAACCCGAACCACCCAGCTGGCACCATGAGAAAGTTCGGTAGGCCAGCCTCGATTACTCCCCAGCAATTTGTAGCCACTCAAGCTGGTGGTTGAACAGAAGCCCTATCTTTTGTGGTTGTCTGTCTCCTCTGAAAGATACGAAAGTGGATGATGAGTCATGTACCGTAGCCAGTAATTAATCATGATTGTCCTCGGTCATCATATATAACTCAATCGCTTAAACCATCGACTCTCCAAAAGAAAGTTGTGGTTACTTAATCCCCTAGGGCTTAATCGAAATGTGCCCCCTGGCTAGCCTGAGTAGGACAGGACTGCCATCTATTGCTTTTACAGCCATAGTGACCACCTAACTGCATGAGTTCCCCTGTCACTTTCTGGCTATTAAGGATTAGGCAACCGGCTTCAATTGTCCCTCACTAGTTAGTAGCAGATCAAGTGCCTTACCTGTCAAAGCTAAACCATCACAGGTTAGATAGCCTTGGGTAGAACACGAGACTCTATTCAGCCCTAAGGCAACCACTTCCTGGCATGAGTTGTCTTTGGTTGGTCGTGATCACATGTGCGCTTTACAATTCAGTAGATTTCGTGCGCTAATCATCCCAGACTTATTCCAGGTAGATCCCTAAACCCTTTTACGGTATTCTCGTGCAGCGTACTCTTTCTATTGATTTGTGTGTTAGTTGCTTGGGAAAAGGATTTGATCTGGATCTCCCAAGCGAGCTGATCAAACGGAATGCCGGTAAGCATCGTGCATAACCTGTCTCTCGGGATGGGCAACTAGAGGATGTCATCCGCTCACAGTACTCCATCGGTGATGGACTTTTTTCTCTATTTCTCTTCTATTGAACACCTGTTCCCAGATGGACTAGTAAGCAATACATGCAAAACATTCACCTCAACTCTGGACCTTTACCTTCTGTGCCAGGTCGATCAGCATGCAGTGTTTTCTATCACTGTGCACTCTTTTTAAGTCGATATGTTATACCACCAAGACACACGCACGCAAGTTATTGCGACATAGGGAATCTTCAAACTGCCGACCTTGATCTTGTCGACATTCTTGAGTACACCACTAAGGAATGATATCGAGAGTGACTGCTGAGAAAGTCGGCGGGCACAGCTGTCTCACTTGCTTATCAAGTGTGGCCAGATCAACCTCGATGTATCGTTTTTGGTCCACATACGTGATTAAGGATTTCCTTTTCACATGGTAATCAAGACTTTTGCCATTCATTGAGAGCAGTACCCGCTCTTTGGGCAGGAACAACTGCTAGTGAGTCTGAAACCGTCTTGATGACACAATGCGCACTAGTCATCAGTGGATTTCATGTAACCTTTGGCCTTGCGTGAAACATCACCGACTACGGTGTTGGTTTGATTGTTTAATACATCTACTGTGTTCATTGATTAAAGCACGCGATCCCAGTTCGAATCGCAATCAATTTTGAACTGTTTCTAGGACTACATTCTGTTGCCTTTTCAGAACAACCCCAGTGATCGAATTCACCGGAATTCAATCCAACATAAATCGCGGCCCACACGATGCCCAGGTGTACCGTATCCACTCACACAACCGGTGTTCCAACTACGCAGCTGATGCCTTACGTGAACTACGAACTAAGCACTAGGTTGTAATGGAATCAGATAAAGCCTCAGGGGTGGTAATCATAAACAGGAGGGATAGGATCAGAAAATATCCATCATGCTCAAAAGTGGGGACATAGCGGATGTCGAAACTCACATATTTCGTTACCTTGAAACACTTCTCTATCGTGTTGTAGAAGGTAACACCGTGTAGCCCGGAGCCGAGTGGTATCACTACTCCGCAGCTTCATGGGTCACCGAAGACACATGAGAGCGCAGTGGCACGGAAACCGATCCTCTCAGTGCTGAACGCGCCTCAGCATCAACTTGCTCATGTAAAGTGAAAGTGCTTTCCGTTGAGTCAATCCGTACACAGGACTCGTATCAACCTATTCAACAGCTGAGTGGAAACAACCTGTCAAACAACGTCATGTGTTCCCTATATCTAGAATTCTTATTCACCAACTTCCAGCTACATCCGACGGTTGATTTCGTGTGTAAATTAGTTCTGTACTCTGGCTATTCGTCGAAGTTCCAATCAAATTGCTGAAATGATCCGTGGTATTGTGCACGGAGAATGTTTTTCATGTTCGGAACATACTATCTCTCTAAATCGATGGCATTACAATGGATAGCCTATTAGACCCTGTTCTCCATGACTTCATCTCGATGATAAAAGATCCATTCCCAATGAAATAATCCAGGTACCTTACTACAAACGCTCTGTGCATGATATTTTGGGATCACCCGTTGCGTATAGTGAATGTAGTGGGAGCCGACAGCGACTGAGGTTTATCTTCATCACTTGCTTAGTGTTTGTGCTCGAAGAGGCATTCAGCTCTTCGTTTTCCGGTTTTATTTTGAAGAGCGAATGTTCTGTTCCAAACTCTCTTGTGAAGCGTTCTAACCCACGTGTAGATTTTTGCCGGGATGTCATTTAATCCCCAACAGCTGGAATTAGATAATATATACCGGGTTCACCCGTTACAATCGCGCTCGTGTTATACCTCTGGCACTTTCAATTCTGCCCCCTGCGTATCTGCTGATCAGAGACTCGAAAAACGAAGTTCCATCTTGCCGTCTCCACGCAACTGGTCGGTGAAGATGGGTCGTTAGAATGGTACGTGTAAGTTCATTGTGCCATCTACACACGGGTTCCTGTGAAACTAGGCTTTTTTGATTGTTTCCAAAGCGGAAACACTAATCAGCCCTCAGGTTTGCACTTATTCTCAGTCAGGCATCATTTATCTGTACGCATGTTGCGTTCAGCTTCGACAATCCAGTTAGAATGTCGTACAGCAAATCACGGGACTAGTCCCGAGTACGAACTGACGTCATCGATCCGATGGCTACTTCGGAAGCAAGTAATAGTCGCTTGTCCACGCTGCCCCCAACTGGACGATCAGAAGCATTCCGCGACGCTAGAATCAGTTTTGTGACCTGGGTTGTTGGGCTTAAGCGCCTGAAAACCGAAGTGCGTCATTACTTCTGGACACATTGGGAAGTTTTTAAACGACCAGTAGTGCACACCTGGGATCCCATAATCACCAATTGTTTCATCTGCGAAAATTATAAAAAGATACTGGCTGCCACCACCTTACACACCACCAGATGTTCCGTACGAATGCTGCGAGGTTTGCACTAGCTCGCAACCTCCGGAACATTATCTGCAGAATGTTGCCTCTATGGACGTTGTCATTCAGCTCTGCAGTTTATCACCCAGCTAATGAGCACGGTGAAATAGCGGGACACACCTTGCGTTTGAAAACAGCCTTGGAACCACCACCGCCTTGGGACTGGATGTGGTGCACTTTAGCTGCATCCAGCATTTTTTTGATTTAGGCTCTGTGAGTCAGTTGCCAAAGCGTCCCTGTCGAGCTCGCTGCAACGCCTCTAATCTCGATACATTCCCCTAAAAGCCACCCGTTGCCTGTACGTGGGCGTCCGCACCACTTGAT